ACCAAAGAAAACAAAAGACTCTATTTTGATGGATCAATAATAGAGTAATAAAATTAATTTTTCCGGTTCAATATATGGTACGTAAATACATAAAAAATTATTAAAATAATTATAAATCATATTATCATTTTGGTCCTACACTTTCCCTATTTTAGTTAATATTCCCGGGATGCACTGAGTTTACGCTGCCTGTAATTTTTTTCGTTATTTTTTCTACTTGAATCACTATTGAAGTCACTTTTGTAGAATTTTTAAAAATAAACAAGCCGTAATTCGATACAAAATATTTTAGGACAATTGGTAAAACCTGCATATGATTTTCATTGAAATTATATAAACAAATATTTTAAGATGAAGTATTATAAAATCATAAGTACTGGTTGAGCTAATTATTATTTCACATTTTATTTCTACACATATTTATCAAGATATGTTATTTTTAATAATCTCTTCAATAAAAACATACTACTTGTCACGTAAAAAAAAAAAAATAATAATGATAAGTTTTCTGAATTCAAAAGATGTGATCAGTTATTTGATGACTGTAAATATGTAAATTCTTTCATTTTTCCATCAGTCTGTTATTTGCCTTATAGAAGACACAAGGTATTCCAAAGTTACATCGTTGTACTGCGTTCTTCGTGTGCTTTCTTAACTATCGCCAACTTTGAATGTGGGTCTGCCGCTGGAAGGCCCGTATAAGGAGGCTCCTTAGTACCATGCAGCATCAAAGTGAATTCACGGATCCAGCCGTGTTGTGGTTTCTGAGAATTGAAGCTCACCTAGAAAAAATTTTCGGTAATCAGGTACATGAAAAATTAGAAAACAATTTTCTATAGAAAATCTTTAGTGAAATATTCTTCAAATACATGAAAACATCGTATTAAGATTTGAAAATAATCAGAAATTTTCCACCATTTAATAGCACATGATTTAAATAAAGGAAAACAATACCACAAATCAAAAATAATAGTTTTATTCAGTTACTTATATGGTATAACATGTAGTTCATGTTCTAATGTACTAGAAAAAAAAAAAAAAAAAAAAAAAAACTCGCAACAATCATCCAATCGTACATGTGTGGATGCAATATGACACACAGAACCATTTAAGTACAGAAGTAGTTAGTTTCCCGTGTGGGCACAACAGCTGTGCTCGATTTCGCTCGGTTCGTTGCTTCATGCCGAGAGCACGGCTTTTACAACGAGCGTTGGCTTCGTGGCCATTTTGGCTCTCCGCACACTCGCTGTGTGTAAGCCAAGCTCGACTTTCCACCGAGAAGACAGAGAGAGAGAGGAACGGCTCAGACGATCAGACGCACATGTATGTATATGTACATGTCCATGAACGCACACTTGCTAACGATAAAAACAGGACGGCCAGAGAGAGCTGCAGGCCGTTCGTTCGTCCTTGCCGACTTTTTCGATACACGGCGTCTCTAGGATAATGCATGTGTCGGAAAAAAAGAGAGAGAGAGAGAGAGAGATCGGGAATGGAAAAACGAGCGGCTTGCGTGTATTTATATATGTGCGGCGACGACGACGACCTGGCGAGGTCGCGATTTTTTTTTTTCCTCCTTTTTCTAGACTCATAATTATTATTATCACGCGTGTATGCCCGTTTTCCTTACTTTTTTTTTTTCTTTTTCTTTTTTTTAGCTCTTTCATACTATCCTTTGGGTATTTTAAGCATCCGTTGCCTTTCATTTTCCTTTTTTCCACTTATCATCCATATATGCAGGAGAAGTTTTCCCTAAATGGGGAATATTATTTTCGTCAAACGAAGCTTGCGAAGAAAAAAGAAATAATTTAATTTATATGGAATTACACGTGAGTCAAGCCAAAGATATTTTAATTCTTCGAATTGTTGCTTATTGTTCGGCTTCTCTGCTACATACACTACTGGCTATGATAGCTTTTTTTTTCCATTCAAGTCACAATGACACGCTGCTGCTACTTGATCGTGAATACTTTTTTTTTTTGTATACACATGTATGCATGATAAATGAAATCGCGCCAGATTATCGATGTACATATACAACCTCTTGGGATTGTAGATGCTGTGGCTTTTAAGAATATATTACACGTTCGGTTGAATAAGTGCTCGAAAGAAAAAACAATAAAAACTTTTCTCCCAGCCATATGGAGGGTAAAAAGTCGTATTGTTTAGTGCCTCAACCCACGCGTCCATGCAGCTGATGACCCCATCTCAAAAAAAGGGAGGGAATCGTGTGTGCATTTTATACGTATGTTACAACAATCGAACGACTGAATTACTCAGAAATTTCCACGAGAGATATAAGTACTCGTATACTTATAGGCACGAACGGCTGCGCGCTTTCTCCTCCGCACAACAGCAGCAGCGCGTATATAACAATATTAGCTTACATGCACAAAGGCTATATTATATATACACACGAGAGTGTATTTTTAACAGCTCGGCTCGATAACGCACGACAAACGTGATCTTTTGTACGATTCTTTATTTATTTATTTATTTATTTTTTTTTTTTCTTCGTCTTCGGACGGCAAATCGTGGAAGATTTTCGGGAGTGCCGATGACTCGACTCTCGGGGAACAAATGGCGGAGTTGATACACG